GGCTTTCTTGTGCATCATCTTTAGAAGAGGCTTCCTTCTGGGACGACCAATTTGATGCAGTGTGCGGAGTATAGTCTGAGCACTGACAGGCTGACCCCCCATCCCTTCAACCTCAGCAGCAATGCTGGCAGCACTCATATGTCTATTTCCCAAACACAACCTCTGGATATGACGCTGAGCACATGCACTCAACTTCTTTGGTCGACCATGGCAAGGCCTGTTCTGAGTGGAACCTGTCCTGTTAAACCGCTGTATGGTCTTGGCCACCGTGCTGCAGCTCAGTTTCAGGGTCTTGGCAGTCTTTTTATAGCCTACTCCATCTATATGTAGAGCAACAATTATTTTTTTCAGATCCTCAGAGAGTTCTTTGCCATGAGGTGCCATGTTGAACTTCTAGTGACCAGTATGAGAGAGTGAGAGCGATAACACCAAATTTAACACACCTGCTCCCCATTCACACCTGAGACCTTGTAACACTAATGAGTCACATGACACCGGGGAGAGAAGTATAATAAAATATTTGTGGTGTATTCACTTCTGTGAGATACTGTATATTTTTATACAGATTTTGTGGTACGTGTATAGCTTAGTGCAGTATTTATGAGTCAGTGGAATGGAATTTCGTTCACATGTGCACTCTGTATGTACAGTTGAATGACAATAAAAAGCTACCTACCTACCTACCTATTGGGGTTAAACAACACGTGTCAGGAACCATTCCTTCTACCACAAGAGACTGCTTTGTAAGTAATCGTCCTGATTTATCTCAAGCCCTCAGCATATCCAATAGCTCAGAACAACTTGATGATGTAACAGAAACTATGGACTCTCTCTTTTCTAGCATGTTAGATTCGGTTGCTCCTTTACGCTTAAGGAAGATTAAGGAAAACAGTCTGACACCGTGGTATAATGAGCACACTCGCACCCTAAAGAGTGCAGCCCGGAAAATGGAGCGCAGCTGGAGGAAAACAAAACTAGAGGTATTTCGTATTGCTTGGCATGAAAGTACCCTATCCTACAGAAAAGCATTAAAAACGGCTAGATCTGATTACTCTTAGTCTCTTTTAGAAGAAAACAAACATAGCCCCATGTATTTATTAAATACAGTGGCTAAATTAATGAAAAATAATGCATCAACAGATGTTGACATTTCCCAACAGCACAGCAGTAATGACTTTATGAACTACTTTACTTCCAAGATCGATACTATTAGAGATAAAATTGTAACAATGCAGCCGTCAGCTACAGTATCACATCAATTGAGACAGTGCACTCTAGATCCCCTGAGGAACAATTCCACTCATTTTCTACTATAGGAGAGGAAGAATTGCATAAACTTGCTAAATCATTTAAACCAACAACATGTATGTTAGACCCTATTTCATCTAGCACCTAAAAGAGGTGCTTCCAGAAGTCATAAATCCTCTTCTGACTATTATTAATTCCTCATTGTCATTTGCATATGTCCCCAAAACCTTCAAACTGGCTGTTATTAAACCACTCATTAAAAAACCCCAACTTGACCCCAAAGAACTAGTTAATTACAGACCAATCTCGAATCTCCCTTTTCTGTCCAAGATACTAGAAAAGATAGTATCCTCACAATTATATTCCTTCTTAGAGAAAAAGGTATTTGTGAGGATTTCCAGTCAGGATTTAGACTGTATCACAGTACTGAAACTGCTCTAATCAACTGATCACGGTTGTATCTATCTATTAGTGCTACTGGATCTTAGCGCTGCGTTCAACACTATTGACCACAACATTCTTTTGCATAGACTAGAAAACTTTGTTGGCATTAGTGGAAGTGCATTAGCATGGTTCAAATCGTACCTATCTGACCGCCATGAATTCATAGCAGTGATTGAAGAGGTATCATATCGATCACAAGTGCAGTATGGAGAACCTCAAGGCTCAGTACTAGGGCCATTGCTTTTCATGCTTTACATGTTACCCCTGGGAGATATCATCAGGAAACACTGTGTTAGCTTTCACTCTTATGCTGATGATAATCAGCTCTATATTTCTTCGCGGCTCTGTGAAACATACCAATTTGAAAAACTAACGGAATTCATAGTTGATATAAAAAAACTGGATGACGGGTCATTTCTTACTGCTAAATTCTGAAAAAAACAAAGGTGTTAATTATCGGACCTAAAACCTCTGCATGTAATAACCTAGAACACAGTCTAAGACTTGATGGCTGCTCTGTCAATTCTTCGTCATCATTTAGGAACCTAAGTGTGCTATTTGATAGCAATCTTTCCTTCGAAAGCCACGTTTCTAGCATTTGTTAAACTGCATTTTTCATCATTCACAGTTGTAAGAAATATATGTATAGAATGCTTGAAATTACTTTTAAATTAAGTAAGTCACTGTGGCAGGGGGGGGCATGGTTCAGCGAGGTCTGCATCGGGAGAGAGAGGTAGGAGACGAGCGGTGCGTAAGTAGGTCAAGTGCAAATGATAAACACCTGTGTCTTGTTTCAGTAATTGGTGTGGAGAGACCGGATAAAAGGGGCCACCGGGAACATGATGAGGAGAGACTGACTGGGAACGCGAGCGACCCGGGGAGACGGGTGTAGATACATGGAAGCAAGTTGTGTTACGTTTGTTATGAGTTATTGACTGCGAGTCTGACAGCGCTGATTGAGCATCGTATTGTGTGTGGTGCCCGAGAACTTAAATAAAGCTCGCGTCCCAGCAAGCCGACCCTGCCTTCTTCCTTCCACACTCCTGAACCTTTACTACAGTCACGTCCAACAAATATTCTCTGTTAAAGTAATCCATATGAAACCAACGCGATGTCCAGTTTTTCCCATCTCAACTCATTATCTCTAATGCGATCATGCTCACGAGCCGATGAGATGCATGCACATGTAAACGCCCAAATTGCCTCCGTGTAAACAAACAAGTTCATCACGGCTACTTTTTGTTTCTGGAAGACACGCTGAGGAATAAGCCAGAATTTACCTCAGAAAATAAACACAACACAATGCTTCGCACAGCTAGATCCAGTGGAGAATATCACTCTGATGAGTTTAAAGCCTAAGATTACTTGCATCTGTTGTTATTGTGACATAACTTGTACATATTTTACTAGTTAGACTTTCCCCAAACTATAATTGTGAAACATTCATTTCATTGTCTAAATGTCTCACAACGCCAGAATGTTTAATGTTTTATAACATATAAAACCACAAGATATAGAAGTAGTGTTAACACTATGATATTAGAGTCTATGAATGTTTGGCACAAAGGTATGTTACTGTCCAAGTCTCAGTGTTCAGATCAGCATGTTCAATCATGTCCCCTTGACCTTCACTGTGTTATATACAAATAATAATCAAAAACCCACATTATTTTACTCTCCCCACACTCTTTCTTACGTGCCTCAGTCACATTCATATTGATGGCCCATTATGTGAGGCCCTTTGTCTCTCAGGTGTGAATCATTAAATATTCATGGACATTGTGACTCGCTCGCACAAGGGCATTCTATCACAAAACATGTTTTACAAATGTTAAATCAATATATTGCTTTCTGTGAACATGATAATTTTCACATAATTTTGTAGTAAAAACTCTAGTCTACCACATCCAGTTCTCAAAAGTCTTGTGAACAAATATTCTGTATGTGTTTTATGGCCTTATTTCAGTGACTTAAAAAATTTTGTTTTTCACTAACCACGCATAAACATTATTTTCTCAAAAACACAAACATGTACTTTCATGCTGCTCACATATTATTGTAGCCCAGTTTGTGATGAATACAGTGTTATCAGACTTTAGCCATTAATATTTTTTTAGGATACTTACAAAAACACAAATGTCAGGGCATGCCAAAACTTCTCCAGGGCCTTAAAACACCCTCAGACCACAGAGGGTTAAAGACCCGTCTCTTTAACCTGGCTTACACATAACACACTAACACATTTCTAATATTCAAATCTGTTCAAGGATTTGTAGGCTGCATTAATTAGGACAACCAGAACCAGAAACACTTCCCATAACACCCGATGTGCTTGCTACATCATTAGAAGAATGGCATCTACGCTATTAGTCTGTTTCTTTCTTATTACGAGGTCACCATAGCCACCAGATCCAGTCCGTATCCAGCCCAGATGGTCACTGCAGTCACCCGGATCCAGTACGTATCCAGCCCAGATGGTCACTGCAGTCACCCGGATCCAGTACGTATCCAGCCCAGATGGTGAATCAGCACCTAGAGATGTTCTCTACAGCCCTGAATGTCAGTGGACACCAGAACATCTAGATGAGCCCCAGAGACAGATCCCCAGTGAAGACCTTGTCTCCTAGATGGCCACCGGGACAAGACCACACCACCAGGTACCTGCTTTCTGTGCTACATCGCTCAACCAGATCAGATCTTCTCAAAATACTTGATCTCAAATACTTTATTCTATACAACAGTTAACCATCTGACTATACATATACCTTAAATAGTTGACTACCCTAGTGAAAAAATTGAATACTTAAGCACAATTTATTTGCATGTACTTTAAGTATACCAATTTAGTGTGCCATAAATACATTTAGTTATACTAAAGTCTGTTAAACTGGAACAACAAATTTTGGACTAAATGCTTTTAGCTGTGCCAAAGTACTGCAAACTGAGGTCATACTATCCTTTACTTTTAGTAACTTTAAAATGCATTGCAATGGCATTCAAATTAAACAAAGTGTAATAGTGCTAATAGTGTTATTATGGTGTGCTTCTAATGCAATTAATTAATCGTTATAAATGATGGCACAGCTTTACAATTTGTCTTTTACTAACATTCCCAGCATACCAGCTAACTCACTCATCTGGAGAACATGAGTGGCACACTGAGGACAGACATTTGAACACTGAATGTAACACTGCGGACTGGATTCGAACCCGGGTTGCTGTGACACAAGTAAACAGCTTGGTCTTAAAGTAACTCAGTTTAAATGTATTGTTTGAATGGCCCTTACTATGGAATAAAAAAAATGCATGTACATTTACAACACTGTACTTATATTACCTTAGAATCAGATTACGAAAAACTAGTTAACGCTAATGGGAGGGTGTTTCTAATACAGTGTCTATAGGAGTGACGGTAAGTTTGACATAGTTCTCTCTTCTGACTGCCGTTCAGTCTCTATTTTTTTTATATAAGTCGTGAAAACACTATCATGGTGTAACAGAAATGCTGAAGTTTTTAGCCTAATTGTCAGTGCACCCTTCTCCTGCCTTTTGTGGGGCAGAGAGAATTTAAAGGGGAGAATATAAATACAAAATATTAACTAGTTAGGGTATGTGGACCCGGATACGGGTCCAAAGGCCCGTAAAAAATGTGTATGCTTCATTTGCATAGCCTTCCTTATATGGTATCAGCCCATATATGGGTTCATTTGAAAGCTTGGAGTGTCTTCTTTACAAAGAATACCATTTCTTTTGGTTTTTATATTCATAAAGCAGTAAAATTAAGCTTAGAAATGTATTCGTCCCACACACGATTTTCCGCCTAGCCATTGCAAACTTTTTTTTACGAAGAATGTGTATTTGATATATTTTTTACAATAAAGTCAAGTCATATATCACAAGAAAGCTCTCATTCTCAGGAATTTCATGATGTAGGTTATTTTATTGTGTGACAATCAGAGATCGAATTATCTTCTTGAACAGTTTTTTTACGAGTAAAATTAAACTGGAATTGAGTTATATCAAACAGCATTAAGGGTGCTTTCACACTAGCATTTTTGGTGCGCACCCGGGTTCGATTGATGTCAGAGTTTGGTTTGTTTGAATGATGAACGTTGCCTAAGGGTGTATTCACACCTGTCTTGTTTGGTTCAATTGAATCGAACTCAAGTTTGTTTCCCCTCTTGGTGCGGATCTTTTGGGCAGGTGTGAATACAGCATTCACACTAGAGGTCTGCATTCCCGTGGCTCTCCCGTGGGACCCGACTGGATTTTTTGTGCAGCGAAATTAAATTCCGGAATAAAACGCGGTAGCGGTCGGTAACTCTGGTGTAATTTGAACAGGAGCGGGCGGTTTAACAATATCCCCTTCCCGATGTCCATTTAGAACAGCATATTGGTGCTTTATTCTTATTGACCACCGGTACAGCTTGTGCTCAGGACTGTTATGCACGCGCTGCTCGCATGCTTTAACGTCACACGTTTTATTTGCGTGGTCTGTGCGCAGCATGTGCATAACGATGCTCAGAGTAGACTGTACCTGTGGTAAATATACGGCCCTCAGACAGAACAGGCAGGTTGTCGATGAGTGAGAGAGCAGAATAAGGATGGAGCAAAGTGTGGATGCGCTGCCCTTGAAGGACGTTCAGCTAGGTTTTGTTTATATTTTGCTTAGCCTATCATTTTAAATGAAAGATGTTATATTTATTTATTTTTCTCTGTGACACTTTTCCTACTGTTAACAGAAAAATGTCAAATGAATTTAGTATTTTGACAAAACGAATAAAAATAGCGAATAGGCTATTTTTGTACAACCTACATTTTTTCTTTCTCTCTGCGACACTTTTTCCCTATTGTGTTGTCAATGTTAAATGAATTGTATCCTGACAAGACTAATAAAAATAAGAAATACAATTTTTGTACAATATTTTTATTTTCTCTGACACTTTTTGTCCTACTGTGTTGCATAAAATATTAAATGAATTTTGTGTCTTAAGATAATTCATATAAATTCAAGTTAAAGTCAATAAATTCAAGACTCTTGACAAGATGAATGAAATAACGTATAATTTTGTGCAGGCTACACTTTTATTTGTCAGCCTATCTCTCTTTCTTTCAGTAGCGGAAATTTAAATGTGAGATTCTGGAAACAAGATCTAAATTTAGCGGGAACGGTCGGGTCGGGAAGAAAATTATTCTAAGTGGACAGCGGGTGAACAAAGAGTGAATATATAGTGGGAGCGGGTGGGTGCGGAATAGAACCTTGTGGGAGTGGGACTAAAAAAACAGTCCTGCGCAGATGTCTAATTCACACTTGGGTGCAGACCGAACAACCGTACCGAGACCCAGCTGAAGAGTTGGTCTCGGCTCACTTCTAAACGAGCTCTGGTACAGTTGAATGGATGAACCAAAGAATGGATGACCTTAAGCACAGGTGTGGTTTTGTTTACAGTTTCTGGTTCACTTGCAAAAAGGGCAATGTAAAAGTGAACTGCACCAAACAAACAAAAAAATCAACATTGTATTTGGTCCGGACCAAAACAAGTGAACTATCGGACTTTCCTGGTGTGAATACACCCTAAGTTAGCTTGTCTTCCAAACACAGGTGCGCACGAGTCTGCTTAAAAAGGGTGGTCTGGGGTACGATTTGATGCTGACTTGAACACAATCGGACCAAATCACGGAAGTAAACCGCTATTAATGACGCATTATTTGATTTAAAAAAAAGTGTGTTTGAATGTGTGTTTCACTCACTTTCCTGATGAGCATGACTGACGCGCTGCAAGCAGAGAGCTGTATCTCTCATTTCATTGTCATTGTGTTTTCTGACTTGTTATAGTGTTTTCGGAATTGTTGTGTTTTCTGAATTATTTTGATTTTTAGATTTGCATTTGTAATTTATTATTGTTTTCAGAATTGTGATTTGTTTTGCACTTTGAATTTTGTACTATTTATTTGTAGTTTAATACAAAGTACTGAAAACCACAAAAGAGTACTTTTTTTCATTTAAAAACATGATAATGTTTCTTATAATGTTTTAAAACAGTGGGATGGGGAAAAACTGCCATAAAGTCTAGAGACATGTTTTTTAAAAGTTGAACTTACATTAATTTTTCTTGGCTTTCTAAACATGCGGCTCTCTTGTGTGAGTCGCGAGTGCAACGGTAATAGATGTCCCTCTAGAAAATGCGATAAACATGCATTCTGTGTGAACAGCTTGGTTTTGATGCAAACAAGATCTTCACCGCATTGATGTTCTCTTTCTCCTCAATATTTTGAATGAACAACGTAGCAGCACACCATCCAGTGGGTTCAACTGGATAGGCTAAAAAAGCATTAAAATGCAATGACACCTACATCGTCATCGCATCTCGTGTGCCACTGATAAGGCTGCCTGATGCACACCGAAAATTTAAATGCATTTTTATAAAAACATTTTTGCATTTGAATGTGGATTTGTATTTTAAATTCAACGAATATTTGAAATTAGAATTTTTTATTTACAGCCCTAATAAGAGCTAGCAGCGATGGAACCTTCTAAGTTCACGTACAGACACAAAAGAAGAACATCACAAACACATCGTTAGTGTTAGCCTCATTCAGACATGTGCGATCAGCCCCTGAATGAGCTTGACTTCAGTGGTGGACAGTAACAATGTATTTTTACTTTGTTACTGTCACGGAAACGGGTGTGTGGAAGCAGGCAGGACGACGAGGACGACAAGGATTCCAATAATGACATTTATTGTAGACACAACAAGGCAGGTTCAGGTAAGTGAGACACACACACTTGGGCTAACATTAACAATAACCGACACCAATACTCAGACAGACAGGAACTAATATGGGGTGAATAATTAGAGGCAGACAGGTGAGCACAATGACGGTGACTAGCTAATGATTAGACAGGCTAAACCAACACAAAGGGAAGAAACCACAACAAACAGTCCACAGGGGCTTTACAGTTACTGTACTTAGGAAAATTTTTCAAATATCTGTACTATCAACTATTTGTATTTTGAGAAACTTTTACCTTACTACATTTCAAAGCATAATGTCATACATTTCACTGCACTACATTTTAAAAAATCATGTCGTTCCTCGTTATTTTGAACAGAACATAAATTGTCTCCCGCTCCGAGACACAATAGCAGTGTCTGATTCAGGAATGAGCGGATTCTTTTTAATTAACCTGTTAAACCTGATCTGATTGCAGCTGTTCTCAAGTCAACAACTCACTGATTCAAATGATATTGACAAACTGTGTCCTGTTTGATACTGTTAAGCTACTTTGACACAATCTTGTAAAAAGCGCTATATAAATAAAGGTGACTTGACTTAAGCAACAAACACATTTCTGCAGTCTTTTTAATGTGCCAATATAAAAGTATAATAGTTTATCTAGGGTCTTCATTGTGTATTTCACTAACAAATGTACACTGCAGATGGCAGTGCTGCTCAAAAGCAACACAACACATCCACAAACATCTCTTTATTTTTACTCAGGAAATCTACTGTTGTAATTAAAGGACTTAGTGTTATAATAATGTAACACTATTATACGTTTATTTTAATTTTTTATAAAAATGTGTTGAAAGTACACAGCAGCATTGCTCATGATAACTAATGTTTGTCCATTTACTCTGATAGCGGACAGCAGATGGTGCACTGTGCGTTTATCTTCACATTTGTCTTTGCTGAGGCTGTTAAATGGTTGTCAAGCTCCAGTATAATCGAGGTGGACAACCAGCCAACGCTGTTTTGCCATCACTTTGAGTGCCAGCCACCGGGTGCAAGATCCTGCCAAATCTCTACAGAAGCATTGAACAGAAAGAATGGAGGTCTCAGAGATGGCCAGGTTCATGTTTGTCATTGCCTATCTCAGAAGCCAGACAGGCTTTGTACCATACAGTAATGGCATATAATTACCCAAATCACATTCATATGGAGGACATAGAGGAAGCGTGTGTGAGCTCTGATTGTGGAGCTATAGGTAATTTCACATTTGTCAGGAATGAGGCAACAGTCCAGATTCACCTGTAGCCAGTTTTTAGTCCTACATGTACAAAAGCATTACTGCGGAAACACTTGGACAGAAATATATCTGTATGTTTATAGAGTAATATATGTCAGTTTTCAAGAGTCTGATCAGAAGCTTTATAAGTTAATCAGTTACATTTTAGCCTTATTAAATGCTGAAAATAATGTCAAATACAAACATTATATATGGTTATTGTTAACCATTTCATTCTGAAATTCAGCAGCAGTATCATTATCCAGAGCTGGTAATGATGGATGGGTCTCTAGGAGGACATCTATCTGAGCTCACTGAACTTTCTAAACGAGGACACTGAATGTCTCAATTCAGCATTGATAAAGAACCACAGGAAAAACCATGTGCAAGTGATGGTATGAAAAAAAAGACATTTGTCAACATAAATCATTAATGTCCTGAAGTGCAAGGTGCTTATAATATTACCAAAGAGAGCTGAGGTAGAAAAAAAGAAGGTGATCACACTGATTACCTATAGTTTCTCAAACATGTCAAGTCTAATATATAAATCTATAATAAGCAATCATATATAGTATAACTGGAGGTGCAGCACCACCAGGTCTGATGAGGGCCATTCTGGAGGTTAATGAATTGCAGTTGAGCAGAAATGAAGGTCAAAGAACCAATTGTTCCTTTGTAAGTTACATGAGCTCAAGCAAAGGAGAAAGCTTTCTCTTTGTCTGCTGCTCAATTTTCTCTTTATTTATCCTTTTTAGGAAACTATGAGGGAAAAATTCCCCATTTTTCCTATTTATCCAGCTCTCCATTTAACAAAGTAATCATTCCTCACACCGTTCACAGGGATTACGTCAATATAATGACATTGAAAGACAGCACATTCCTGGCATGACCGTAGTTTTAAGTGAACAAATACCGGCAAACTGCAGGCAATGAAATAACGTTTCTATAGATAAAGAAGATAGAATCACAAAAGAGTTGAGATTAGTCAGCTTAGTTACGTAGGGGATAATGCATGGCTAGCTGTGCATTAAATTAATTTAATGCTCGTCCTAGAGGCCGAGAACTATAGGCTTAGATCTCTGCCACAATTTTGCGTGAGAAAGATCATATTTTGAGCTCACAAAAGTGCATTTTGCAAAGAAAATGTTCGTTTCGCAAAGAAAAAAGTTTTTAGAGTGCACAAAAATCAATTTTGCATTTAAAATACGTTTTTGGATTTGTGCAGACATTCTTTTGCGCGTGCAATGTTTCACTAGCTTGCTCACCTGATGCCCGCCCTCAGTTAGGGATTAAAAAATCCAAAAATCTAAACAGACTCCGATTTCGGTTGTGCGCTGTCCTTCAATTCCTTCTGGCCACTTCCTAGCTCCGTTCAGGCCTGGCCCCATGACCAGAGCCCATCATCCATTCATGCTTCTTGACCTCTAGATGAATTTTCAATCTTGAATCATAAAATGTCTCTTAGTATCATAATATGTATCCATTATAATGTCCTGATCTTTCTCCATCATATTTATGTATCCATTTGCTGTCACTATATGAGCTTGTAGATGCTTTGTTATTTAAATCTCGTTAATATATTTGTTTTTAATCTTTTTAGTTATTTATCTCCTAAGTGGCTGCTAAGGGTATTTCTATGAGGGGTATCTTTCTGAGAGGTAAAGTTAAGTAGTCTTGGGGTAAAAATGGGTAGGTTTAGGTTCTCCAGGGTTAGAATGGGTAGGTTTTAGGTTCTCAGGGTTAGGGTTAGGTATATAGATAAAAACGAGTTTCACCCTCATTAATTCGACCCTCATTAGCATATGCGATCTGATTGGCCAAAGCTTACCTGGCCGTATCTGGTGAAGCGGAGGTCCGATCTGCACATTACTGGTATGGTTGGATTCAGGAAGCTGTGGTCTTTCAGGTAGCGTGGATGTATGGAGGAAAGGGTGTTGCTTTCAAATCCAATGCGACTGTACAACAGTCTAAAGTGTGGCAAAGAAAGTCAGTCATCGGTAAAGGGAAAAAATACATCCAAATGAAATAACCTGTGAAATCAATTGTCTTTTTAGCAAGAAGATATTACACGCCTGTATAAAAACAGTCTTCCAGCCAGTTTGTGTGTGCGAGTGCGTGTGTGTGAGTGTGCACAGGTGTGTGTGTGAGAGAGAGAGAGAGAGAGAGAGTGTGTATATTAGAAGTTAGACTTGAAAGACGTCTGTGAATAAAGTCAGCCGCTCAAGAGCTCCCCCTGGAGTGTTATTTTCTGCTAAAATGTAGGAATCCTTAGCAGTTTCTAAGACATGGCTATTCACAGTTTTATCCAGGAGAGGGCGACTGAGAAGCCAAGTGAAGTCACGCCCACACCGCATGGATGACACGACAGGTAAACAGTATTTCTTACTGATGTAATTTCAGTTTGACAGCATTAGGAGTTATAATTGCATGGACTGTGATACATTCAGTTGCTGCCTCATTTGTTACTTAGTCAATCAAATCATCAACTAATGATATCTTTCTTTTCATTCCAATGCACTAAAGATGCACATGAATGCACGCGTTTTTAAATATGTGTAATTACTAAAGAACGAAAGAGAGAGAGAGAGAGAGAGACATATTAAAAAAAAATTTACTTTTAGACCTTTGCTGTCTGCTGGAGAGGAGCATATAGGATGTTGAATGAAACCAGTTGTAAAGTTTCCAAGAATCTCTTGTAGTGTTGGTACATCAGAGGGTCTGTAGGCCAAACAGATATACATTACTGCAGTTCTTCAACAGTAAGTTGAGCTTTGTGCATATGCCTTTTTTGACAATCTGTTGAGTTGTGTTGTTCTGCAGGACAGTGAGCACACCTCCTCCGCTGACGAGTGGATCCAGCAGGGCCCCAATCTTCCTCCTCTTTTCCCCCCTCATCCACCTCCACCTCTTCCCATTTTACCTCCTCAGGAGGATCCAGAAGATGTAATGGGAGTATTAGATGTAGCATCTTAAACTCAAGTGTAGCTGCCACTGTTTTGGTAATGTTCTTTTTCCTCCCTCTCTGCAGTTTTTTGCCGATGATGAAGATTTTTAATAAATATATATATTTTTAAACTTAAAGATCATTATGGTGTCCTTCTCTCATTATTATTGATCATATAACATTATTACTGGTCTACACACAGATTTTTCCGAAAAGAAAACCAGAGACAATTTAAACTGATTTCTTCTTGTTTTTTATTTATTTTTTTATTTTTTTTAGTAAATGTGAACAATGTGCCACGAGGAAGTTCTTGGGGGTCCCTATACATGATTAAATATTAAAGTTATTATTGGTGATATACTTGCTGGATAGATTAATTACAGTTGTGAAAAGAGACTCACAGATATTCACAGAAGGTGCTGGAACCCTACAGGTCATACTTAGAAGGGAGAGGTTATTATGTGAGTATAGGAGAGCATAAGTCTAAGTGGAAATCCATGACACGCGGAGTCCCACAAGGCTCATTTCTTGCACCGCTCTTGTTTAGCCTGCATATGTGTCACGAATCCGGTCCACGAACTTTCCTATTCATTGACTCTCGCACTACACACTGTTGCACATCACCCCGGACTACATTTCCCATCATGCATTGCACTGTCCTTAGCCATTTGCCTTAGTCATTAGCCTTAGCCTTAGTCATTTGCCTTAGT